AAAAAAATAGAGAAATAATTAATTTTTCTTTCGTATATTTTATATATTGCATTTTTATTAAATATACGTACCGATCGCAGATATATTTCCTATGATCTTTTTTGCTCAGTTGCGAGCTCACGAGGCGGGATAAATTCTTGATCCACGCAAAATGTCCGACGTCTTGCAAATCTTGCATGTACAACAAGTTGGCGTGTCTGTCCTTCTTTTGCGCCGAAAGACGTATCGGGACAACGTTATTCTCTTTCTCGATGCAGTATACATTTATCGAAATGTCGTTATGAAGTTCAAACTTTTTAATTTGATTAGCAGTCACCGGCAACTCAATGTCCTGGAGATTCAGCACTGTTGTGTAATGCGGGTACCATGATTCCCGATCCGCGTTTCTTTCGGCTGGATACACAGCAGCGACCACCGCCTACGCGAAACACGCATTGTCTTTGGATTGCACGTTTATCACCGCTCTCGCTCGTACCACTCGTGTAGTTCGGACGTGCGAAAAAGTTCATAGTTTCTGGTATTGATACTCTTATTGGCGCTCTTATCACCCGACACGAATTCACCGTTGAACACAGTATTCACTTTCACGTTAAAGTATCTTTCCATAACTTTTTGCACGTGCTCGAGCACAATGTCTTTCGCGTCCTCGAGAAATTACCGCGGTTCGATATAGTATGCGTTAATCACCGCACCGGTCAGTACACGGTTTTCGAACGCGGTATCGATCGCTCGCCAAACGAGTCTTTCCGCGTTATTCCCACCACTGTAATCACCACCGCTATGTATAAACCGTCTCTCTAATCGAGTCTTCGCACCCTCGAGTCGCGCGATTCTAGCCCGGTTTTCGATCGATCGCTCGCCAAACGAGTCTTTCCGCGTTATTCCCACCACTGTAATCACCACCGCTATGTATAAACCGTCTCTCTAACTCTCTAATCGCACCCTCGAGTCGCGCGATTCTAGCCACCAAAGATTGTCGAACTCCGATCGAGAGCCGCGGACGCTTGACACTACTGCGTTCCTCGAGCTGTTTGATAAATTCTTCGCATCGCTGCGCCCACGCGAAATACTCGCCCAAGGTAGCGACTCGGTGCGATAGCTCCAACAGGTCGCGTTCGGTTTGCTCGGTATTTTCCATGTTTTCCATGTTTTTTTTTCACTTTGTGCAGATTATCACAAAATCTTACTCTACCGAACACTTGACACACAAAAGAA